CTTCATGCCGCTACCGGCGGAGTTCGATGATCAGGGCATCTTCGTCCCGGCGACCACTTGCTCTGTTTCTTGGCCAGGAGACTCTGTGGGTGCGTGGACGCCCCGCGCTTGCTGCCGCCGCCACCGCCCCCGACGACCGGCGGTCCCTGTGGGAGCGGGGGCGGCGGCTGATGTGTTACCTGAGATGGTACATACAGGGGCAATCCGTGGGCGGGGGCGGCGGTCGCCGTGGTGATAACTTGGGGGAGGCCCGGCGGGATCGACGCGGGCCGGGTGAAGAGCAGCGGTTGCTGCTGCTGTTGCTGGGTGAGCGGCGGCGGAGGCGCGGCAGACTCTTCCGAGTCGGAGGCTTTGAGCAGGGACGCGATATCCACGGTGACGGTTGAGCGGCCTAGGGAGGGGGTAGTGGAATGCGTAGGCCTCGCTTTGTCATTGGCACGACAAGTGCGCGCCACGGTCACTGGGGGATTATCAGAAGCTTCTTAGCACTGATTTTGGCGAGGGCAGGATCGAGTTGGCGATATATGGCTCGTTTTCAGGCCGTGCTGTCCTTGGGGAGGGATCTGCGATGGTCGTGTTCTCGTCGTCACGTTGCCGGAGGTCGCGGCTCTTCCAGAAAATCTCTGGTGAAACGTTTCAGTCGATGGTCGTCGTCGTCGTTGATGGTATTAGTATAGGGAACAGCTTGCAGTCTGTCAAGTGAGACAGCGCCGGGCAGATGGAGCCTCGGTCGCTTCTGAAGAAATGTCTAAGATGGCAGGAAGAGGACGTCCAGTGAGGTGGGCGAAGAAAAGGAGAGATCTCCAAAGTCTACAGCCGGTTCCAAGGGGCGTACCAGGCGTCGAGGGCGTTTTAAGTGAGGGTCGTCAACATGATTGGCCCCTCTGGGGAACTTGGTAGCCAATGAACGGAAAAAGAGGCTGTATGGATCTTGGGTGAGGCAACAGCGTAGGCGGCGGGTACTGAAAGACGAGAGGAGGGCGAGAAAGAAGAAGAGGGCGAAATCCAGCTGGATGTCAGACGTCGAAAGACAGCGGTCGTTGGGATATACGTCAGTCAAACCAGGCTGTTGCTGGCGCAAGACTTTGCCGTGAAAGGAAGTAGCAGCTGCACCCAAGGCATCGTTCGCCCCTCCAGAAAGTCGGTAGAGGCCAACGAACAAGGTACAAGCCGGTTCGCGACGTTCGGGAGCTTGCGGATGGAGTGGATGGACGGAGGAGGCTACTGTACGAATTCGCAGT